GAAGCATTTACAAAGCCTTGTTATTTGTTTCTCTCTTTTTTTTATAATTTTGCATACCCTTTGATTATAATATTATATTCATACAGTGTATATTATTATCAAGCTTGATACTGCTAACTTTACTGCATGTTTTACCCCCCTTTTGTGTTTGATGATTCGTCACTTGTGTTTCTCCCTCATTCTTGACGGTGGCGTTGGTAGTTTCGTGGTTAGGCTACCGGACCCGTAATTGTGAGATTGCGGGTTCAGAGGTTCAAGCCTCAGTTCGGTCCGACGTTGTGTCCTTGGGAAAGGCACTTTACACGAATTTCCTAATTGGCTTGGTCCTTTCACCAGATGGACATTTAACTCGGAGGTCCCACCTCTTAAATAGTCTAATAGCGTTGATAGGGGCGTTAGACCTATATTGTACCATTTCACCATTTTTTTTCACTCCTGATAGCGCGTTTATATGCCTCGTGTCATGGACGTTTTGTTAGCAAGAGTGCACACAGATGACCACACATATCATCTACCTCATAGTGGTGAAGTGTTGCTCACGTATTTATATATATAAGTATATCGTCACTGCACTAGCAAAATGGCAGGCACATCTCATTTTTGCTACTCTTGAGAGAAAAGGAAACAAACTGTTTAACTAGACTATCATTGATCATCTAATAACTGTAAAACTTTCCACTCATGTTTCTTTTGTGACTGCCAGCGCATTTTTGTTTTGATTTTACCATTAGATAGATATATACATATATGTATATATATATAGTACCACCCACCAAACGAAATGAATGGCCAGTTGCATTTTGGCACATCTCTTAAGTTGTGCCATTTTGCTAGTGCTGTGATGATACGGTGTCATGCTCTAACCATGCAACTGGAAGAATTACTGTACACCAGAAATTTTAGACACACTCTTTTTTTGGTTGAAATTTTGCATTTTGCCTGTTTTGTTTTTTTTACAAATGTTTAAGATTCACGATTTGAGTCATCCAGTTTCTTGTACTGTAATGTAGTACATGTAGTGCCCCTATTAAGATTTTACTAAAACTCATTATATTCTTTAATTTCATTGAATATTACGGAAATTAGTGTTGGGGGAAAAACCCTGTACACAGTAGGCCCCTGTAGCAACTCTTTTTTGGGTTCTAAAACTGTAGTTTTGGTCAATCTGCGGGTCTTCAATAAAAAAACCCAAGGGCTAACATACTCTTTAAATTGTGTACAAAATACTACGGAATAATATTGTCTTCTGTCTTTGTTTTACTCAGACAAACAAAATTTTTATTGTTTTTTTCTTTTTTGGATATTGAAAATTTTTTACAGAAATGAGTTGCATTAGAGCATAACACCATCAATATATATATATATTATCTGATTATGATACGTGTCTATGGCCTCGAGTCACAGACACCTTTCACATCACATGTGTGTGTCTGTTTTTGTGTGCATACTCTGATGGGTATTGTCATTGCCATGCCATTGTAGAAAAAACAAATTTGAAATTTCTATTTTCTTCTTATTCTATGACAGAAAGCGAAGCAAACAGTGAAAAAAGGGAAGGGTCGAAACTACTGCCTTCCCTGAATAATCTTAAATTGTGTGAACCGTGGTGTGAAACTTCTACAATTGCATAATATTTATTTGGGTTTGTCTTTGAACCATTGGTATTCATCTGTAACTTATAACTGAACCCCCCC